AAAAAAAGGGAAGGAAAAGGCAAGAGGAAGGATGGGAAACATAGAAAGAGAAATACAAAACCGAGAGGGATGGCAGTCTCGGTAATGACAAGTCAAATCAAGGACCATTCAATGTCGGAACCTTGAAGTTTTGGCACGGATGTTACTTAAGCCTCATAAAACTACACTTTATGGTCAGAACTACACTTCTAATGAAGACGTTTGACACTTTCAGCTGCATGTGCATAAAATCAAGCATACTGCCAATAAATATCCTTATACAAACAGTTGAATAAGGCATATCAAAAGACTCCGTTCAACCTGGCACTGTCATAAAATGCAATCAGAAAAAGTGTTTTCTGAATATGCTGTGACCTAATGAACACCTCTGAGATTAACTGGAACGATGACTTTGAACTAGGGCCCTTCACGCAACATCAGTGCTTGACCTCATTGAAGCTTTTGTTTCTGATTGGGTGCAAAGCTATATTAGGAGCAAATATGACTTTCCTAGTTTGTAACACTGATGTTGCAAACACTTAATATGGCTTTCTTTGTATAAAAAAGTAGCATGAAAAATATCCTTTTATGTTCTACAGAAGAAAGTGAGTCATAAAGAAACAATACGAGGGTGTAGAAATGATCACAAAACTTGCAGTGTGTGTGTTAGGGGTGTAATGGTACACATGTTCCTACTAAAATATTTCTGTACGGGTCTTTCAGTTTGGTACACATGTACCGAATGAACCCAGTGCTGTTTTAACCACTACGTGTGCTGAACTTCTGTGTGTGTGGAACGTAATTTTAAACTCAGTTTCCCGCCTACGATGGAACAATAATGTTTATATCAGTATATTTTGATGTTGCAAACACATCTGAAAAAATAACAAAGGAATAGCGAAGCTGCCAGAAAAATGCATGATCCAAGTTGCCTGTTTTATATTAAGCGCTTGAAACGAAATCATAAATCTACATGGCTTGCCCTACTGTCAGATGCGTGTGTTGTTTATTGTGTTTAAGACACATTTTGCTCAGGGTACAACTTAGCTACATCTTACGGTTGTGCCTGTAAATGTTACAAATTCACGCAAGTATATCCATTTTGCATAAAGGTTCATCCTGACAGCAAGCAAATCTTCATTTAACTTTGCAGACTTCAATGAACTAGTGTCAGTGTTGTGGTAAAAATTCGACTACCGTGTTCTTAATACACTTTTGAGCAAACTGTATTGTTTGTCATAATAGTAAAAATAGTGTGAACTGAGTTTCTTAGTTGGTGAATATAACAGTAGGACTGTCAATCGATACTCACCCGAGTAACCAGAGTCTTTCTCCGAGAAGCGCGAATCACGTCCATTTTTTTTCTGTTCGGTGTGTGCTCTTGCTCTAGAGGCCAAAAGGGCGGCGCTGTTGCTTTTGTCTTTAGCATTTTTACTGGCTGGACGGGAGGTGCGTTCCCTCTCTCCTACACACCCTTGGGCATCTCCTCTCGGTTCCTTGGGCATCCCGGGCCCTGAAAGCAGAGAGACAAAGCTGGGCAAACAGTGGCCTCAGGCAGAATATATTTACCCATTTCTAACATGGGGCATGGAGTTTGTTCTCAAGGTCCTTACATAAACATGTTTGATCAGTAGCACTGATAAACTGAAGAGTTGAATTCCAAAATGCCACATTTATGCCAACAAAGGGTGAACTGCGGAAAATTCTCTTTCAACGTTTGTCTAGGGGAGAGTTGTTTTTTAAATTAGGTAAATATTATTTACAAATCCAAAAATAATACTACTAATAATAAATGAGCTGCTTAAAGGTTATAAGAACACTTAATCTACAGGAAATGTATGTAAATTCAAAACATAAGGCACTTATTGTGTCACTAGTCAGTTTTACGGAAAGAGTCAAGCCTTTTCTGTCATGACAATTACAATGTATTCAGAGCTTCTGTACAAAATATAGCCTTTCTCTAAATGACTGTACACCACAAAGAACACAAAACACGCCTGAACATTAAGTGACTATTAAAGTGACTACACACACATACATTATGTATATATATGTACACTCTGAACTCACTCACTCTCCAGTCTGTGCCATGTGTTACACGTATGAACCATATTTTCAAGTTAAAAAAGCAATCAGGCAAACACTTGAGCGAAGTACTCTACAACTGAAAAAAAAAGTATATTCTCATTTACCAACATTTCAGACATGCAGAGTACATGATAGTTAAATGGCTTTTTACTAACATGTTATTGCACATAAAAGGCATTTTATAAAAGGTCAAAAACACTTTAACTACAGATTGGATACAATCAACTCTAAATTCTGACTGGATTTATTCTGCTTGCCGCTGTAAAATACTGATAAATGCTGCCATCATTGCTCATTAACACTCATGAGTTCTGGAACATTTGCCATGTGATCTCTTGTCAAAGGCAGAAAAATGGGAAAAATCCATTCCACTCCATTTTTATAGCCCTAATATATATATATATATATATATATATATATATATACTGTATATATTTTATATATATATTTTTTTTTTTAATTTGCCATCATGGTCTTGGTTATATTTTTCAAACTTATTAGTTGGCTAGATAATTGTTCATTCTGATTATCATTATTAATTTAACTATCACTACTTTCATAAACAATAAAAATAGCCTAGTGCTTTGTCATAATGCTATTCGTTTTATAAAAGCAATAAGCCACAAGATCCCGTACGTTACAGTGATTTTAGCCTTTCGTTTTGCTTTAGTGTTTTTTTTTGTTTTTGTTTTTGTTTTCAGTCCAGAAATTTTCTAAATTTTTGAAGTCGCAAAGATATTCGTTTTATAAAAGCAATAAGCCACAAGATCCCGTACGTTACAGTGATTTTAGCCTTTCGTTTTGCTTTAGTGTTTTTGTTTTTTTGTTTTCAGTCCAGAAAATTTCTAAATTTTTGAAGTCGCAAAAAAGCTGTCTCCGAATATAATACACTGTCAGGGGATCTCGGGACCTTTGTAACAATACAGTATTATGAGCACAAAAAATCTGACCAAATATTTCATAGTTCTTGGTAGGTCTGTGACATGAATTATCCTGCCAGGAGGAAGGTTAGACACACACACACACACACACACACACACACACACGGAGCTCTGAGCCCTCCCTTCCCTTACTGTTATGTAATACTACAACAACAGCCGATCTCAGTCTCAACTTCCTCCTGTTGACACCACGGACACCGTCAAAATAACGTGCTTTTACCACCTGCATAGACAACCTTTACGTGCAAATAAAGATGGAACTTACGGATACCCTGTCAGACAGATAAAGTATCAGTGCAAATGGGCAAAAATAAGCACCTACAGAGCAAAAGACAGCCTTTTGCAGGGTAAGTAAAATATTAATATGAATATGAATACAACATCAGCATTGCCTACCTTAGTAATGTACAACACTGATCCTGGTCCCGAGTATTCGGCTCTTCTTCGTCCAGGGTAGCGCACACTCCTAACTACCTGTCCAGGGGCAGTCTGTACCTCCCGTCATCTCGCTGACAAGGATGATGACCACCCAGCGTGACCGAGTCACATTACTTTTGCCTGCACTTTTTTCAGGTCGTCTCCAGCCCCTACTTCAAAATTGCAGACTGACAACGCCACCTGCAGTAAGCCCCGCCCCACATTCTTGGGGCCCGCCCATTTCTGTGGTAGGCACGCAACCGGACCAATAGCGGTAAAGAGATTCCACCTAATCCCGCCCCAAACACGAGGGACGCAGGGGAATGAGTGGCATGGCCAATGCTGTGATCAGGCACGTGGAGAGGAGGAACGAGACGGTATGACAGGCCTGACACGAAACATAACAAGAGGAGGAGTGGCGAAGAAACGACGTATTAGTGTAACTACATTCGGCTGTCCATGTGTTGGCTATTTTGTAATCCTGACCGCTGACTATCTGCTGAGCCAAATACAGGAAGTATGACCAGTTAACACTTAGCACTGCAGGCCAAAGTGTGAATATTGCAGCTTTTATGTTTTATGTAAGTTGGTGTCAGTCAAATCACAAAGGATTGTCAGGGTTTTTTTTACAAAGTAGGTGTGAGTTGTTAGTGGACACCAAAAGGTTTTAGGTTTGAACCCCAAAAAGCCATCAACATGTACTCTTAAAAAGGGACAGAAGTGCTGGTTTAAGTGCTGCTTTTAGCCACATAAATCACTGCTTGCAGCATAATAATAATTTATTATGTTATATAGTTTTTGTTATTTTATTTTTTTTGCCATGAAGTGTTTAATTAATTTTATTGCACGTGTTTACAGTTATAATATTTTAGCTTTATCTGATTCGAACAAGTAAAATCATTGTAGAATTATTGAACATATTAAATTAACTCAATTAATGTAGAGGGAAAAATCCATATCAACAGGCTATAGTTATATCTGGTTGTTGCTGTTTAGAACCAATACAGACTGACAACTCCACCGACAAAATCATAACGGTTTTTATTTATTTATTTATTACTCTTGACTATCATTTATGAGTGCATTTAGTTACAAATTAACATTCTGGCCATTAAAAATGGCGAAGTGGGGCATGGAACTGATTAATGAAAATGATAAGAATGCAATGTGCGAAACATAATGGCAGTCAAGGAAATATGCGCGTCAGACTGAGCCATGGAGCAAAACTCCCCAGAAATCAAATCTTCTTGAGCCTCACACGCGCCTCTAAAATGTGCCAGAGCTCGAGCGCTCAGCTGTTCTACTACAGCGCCACGTGGTTCTCGCAGGGCGGAATGACGCAGCGCGCTCCTGTAAGCCAATCAGCAGCGCCGGGTGTGTGCGGACATGTGAGGACGAGAGTAGAAGAGCTGCGCGCACATGTTCGGTACTGCGCACAGACGCCCGTTGAAAACTTGGCTCGCTTTTCAGGTGACGTCATAAACAGAGTTGCCAAGTCCACATTTTCCGGCGTAATTAATTAAGGCACTTTTAAACCATTTTCGTGATTTGAGGGTTTAACATTTTGCACACAAAGTAGAATAATGATTTATTAAACGTATCAAATGATTGTATGTTTGACCGGACATGCAGATCTGGCAACCCTGCACATAATGCCCCTGCTGAGAGCGTCATGTGATAATTGGAGTGCACTGAAACATGTGAATGAAAGAAAAGGAAAAAAAGGTTTAATTTAATACATTGATGTGTGGAAAGGAATATAATTTCCATTGCGGTTTTCAAAAGCAGACAGACCCGTTTTATTTTTCACAATTTCCGTTATGGCAAATAGTGATGTGTCGTTCGCGAACGAGCCGGCTCTAAGAGCCGATTCTTTGTAGCGAACGAGAAGAGCCGACTCCCGTCGGGGAGAGCCGAATCTTCAGCCGGAGCCTTCTATTTTAGGCCAATTTAGCAATTGTGAATGGTTTGTGTGTTGGTAAGCAATTTTTATTTACCGTTTTCATAAAAGCATTATTTTTTATTTTTATGCATTTTTTCGTTACAAGGATAGGATCATACCATTATGTGAAAGAAAGAAGGGGGACACGCTCCGAAGATAGCGAGTGTAACTTAGTAGTAAAGGCCAGGTACACAGAGCGACAGAGAGGAGCCGACAAATAATCACAGAGAAATCACATCAGCACATCCAAGCTGAGGCATCTGATATTTCTGAATGCCAACGTGCACTAAGTGTCTTAATGTTAAGACTTTTGCCTTTATTTGTTTGCTGTGGTTCTGTTCAATTGTTCAATTAAAGTTTTATTAAAATGTCAAATAATAGTCTTTTTTTTTTTTACGAAAAAATAAAATGCATAAAAATAAGGCTTTTATGAAAACACTGAATAAAAAAAATTGCTTACCAACACAGACATTTCACAATTGCTAAATTGGGCTAAAATAGAAGGCTAAATAAATTAAATAGTGATACTAAATAAAGAGTCATTTGGGAGCCGAAAGAGCCGGCTCTTCTAAGGGAGCCGAGCCAAAAGAGCCGAATCTTTGAAAAGAGCTGAACTTCCCATCACTAACGGCAAACTGAGGACCGACAGCAGATTAAAGAGGTCAAGCACAAACGTAACACTACACCCCTAGTGTTTCAACATACAGTGGATTTACAGGATCACATTTGCATGTCTATTAACATGCATTTAATCCCTTTTCATCTTCGCCTGGTAATTTTTTTTTATTTTATTTTTCAAATTTTGAAAACTTGTGTTATATACACCTTATGTAATAGACTTACAACCGGAAGAGAACATGCATTTAATCCCTTTTCATCTTCGCCTGGTAATTTTTTTTAATTTTATTTTTCAAATTTTGAAAACTTGTGTTATATACACCTTATGTAATAGACTTACAACCGGAAGAGAAAAAAAAAAAAATGCACAAATGTAAAAAGTGTTTTATCAGGGTCAGTTTGATCGGACATTAGCATGCAGATCTGGCAACCCTGCACATGATGCCCTTGCTGAGAGCGTCATGTGATAATTGGAATGCACTGAAACATGTGAAGGAAAAGGGGGAAAAAAATAAAATAAATAATAATAATAAATAAGTTTAATTTAATACATGAGTAGAAAGGAATCGAATTTCCAATGCAGTTTTCCAAAGCAGACAGATCAGTTTTATTTTTCCCAATCTTAAAATATACTTGGAAATTCCAAATTTGCAAAAACACTTAAAAACAGTAAATGTTTCAAAGTGCTTTAATTTCATAAGACACCATATTCCAGTATATCAATTTTTCACCATAGCATTGATAAACACTTAAAAGCTACAAAGACATAAATACACACTTTTTCTTTATCCTTTTACATCAAGTGACAAGATTGCTATTAAAAAAAAAAAAAGGTTACAGAAAACAATTCAGTCCAGATAGAGTAACCAGTGCAACACAATCCTCCTGACTGGCCATATTCAGCATTTCTTTCCCTCAGAGTAGCAGTGCTACGCAGCTGTGCTGAACATTTCCAGCCCCATTTGGCCTCCTCACTGGTGTTAACAGAGCATCACGTCTGAGGGCACGACAGGCCCAGTAGGCCAGGGGCGGCTTTCAGGGCAGGGTGCATGCTGACATGGAGGGTTTGTATAGTGGAGAACTTGATGTAAGTGGCACGGGTCTCACGAGCATGTGCTCTCGCTGCTGCAATGGCGATGATCTGCATTATACTGATGAGAGTTGCTTCACTGCATCAGAGATAGTGGGGTGTGAGACAACAAAAATATTGAGCTATATTTCAACTCAGTTTCAACATTTCTGCTTTTTAAATTGTGGATTTTAATGAGTTAAGAAGCTTAAAACAATCTGAGATAAATTTGGGGCTTACTCCAAACACGGTCTTTACTGTTTTTGATCAAATAAGTGTAGTCATGTCTTATCAAAAACCCGTTAAAAAATAAATAAATAAATAATAATAATCTAAACTTCTGACTGATAGTGATCATTGAGGGTCACTGTGAAAGTCCTTTTCAACAGAATGCAAGTTAAAGCTCAAACACTCAGAATTCTAAAGAAATCAGTCTAACAGTTCTTGAGAACAGAACTAAAGAGCTACTTGTCCTGACCTTCCTATATGGATACTAGAAGCAATACAGCAGGCCATCTCTCCATCAGGAGAAGGAGCTTCCTGCAGGACCCTGCGGGCCAGACGGAGGGCAGCACCTGCCAGCTGGGCGAGCAGATACACCACACATTGCCCCTCCAAGAGCAAGAGCTCCAAAAGGTATCGTGCCATCCAGACCACCTGAACAGAAATGATTTAAAACCATTTTTTTTAATTTCAAGACCACACGGAGACAAATAAAATGGACAGCATAAACATAGCCCACTTTGTTAAAAAAAATTTTTAAAGGGGTCATATATGATGAGATTTAAATTTTTCCTTTCTCTTTGGAGTGTTACAAGCTCTTGGTGCATAAAGAAGATCTGTAAAGTTGCAAAGACTAAAATCTCAAATCCAAAGAGATATTCTTTATAAAAGTTAAGAGTCAACCATGCCTACCTAAAACGGCTCGTTCTAACACGCCCCCACATACCTACGTCACGATCTGGGAAGATTTGCATAACACCGCCCAAATGTGCACGCAAAGAAAGAAGCGTGGTTTCAGGAACAGCGGTAGTGTTGATGCAGCATGTCAGGGAGACGCTGTGTGATTCAGTGCGAAAGCAAAAGCACTTTATTATGGCCTTCCGGAAGTAGATGCAATTAGGAATCATTGGTTAAGATTTATTTACAACAGAACAGCACAACCCAGATGTTCGAATTTGTGCAACACATTTTATGGACGACAGTTTTTTGAACCCAGAAGAGTACAAGGCTGGCTGTGCAAAGG